AATTATAGACGTAGTCCTTAGAGTATGTTCAAGGAATTTATAAAATGGACCTTACGTGTCTTTTTAGGCAATACAACTTTATTTTTAAACTTAGACCGCATATCATAAAATGAATTAACTTGTAAAAAAACGTAACAAAAATGGTAATTTTTACATCAGCCTTAAAAACATTTTGAGTAACCTACATACTTTCTTTTATTGTTAGTGGGGTGGGACTAATTCCTTTGTACTGCGGCCACTTCTGGCCTATTGTACCAGCCCGAGATGATAGGTGAGGGTGATTGTGGAGCAATTGGTGGAATGAAGATTGGCAGGTGAAACCAAAGTACTCGGAGAAAACCTGCTCCAGCACCACTTTGTCCACCACAAATCCCACTTAACCAGACCCCGGGATCGAACCCGGGCCGCCGCGGTGGGAAGCCAGCGACTATCCTCTTGAGCTATGACGCAGCCAACCTACCTACTTAGTATTATTAAGACCCTTTTTAAAAAGTGAACTTATTTTGGTTTGTGTTTCTCTTTATACCGTTCTTTTACTACATCCAGCCTCATGTGCCTCAGCATTAGGCAAATTTTGTACTGCGCGTTAGAGCTATCAAAACCGATGACGGAGTGAAAGTCTTGTTACACTTCTGAAAATCTTAACCTTGCTCACATTTCTTCTTTCTTCTCATATTCCTCATTATTTTCATTTGAACCCTTCTCTTCGACCTGTTGTGCAATTTCTTCTTCGGTGAGATTTTGGTATCCGAAGTCATCCTCGTCCGTGTTAAGCCAGGCAAGAGCATCACACGGGTCAGCTCCAAATGCTCCATAAAAGTCTTGGTGATTAGTCCAAATTATTGCGAATTCTGAATTACTGAAGTTTCACTGTACTCTTCTTTCCACAAATAGATACAGAATTATGTAACCTACATTTTCTCTTCTTAAGATCATGTTAATTAAGCAAGTGAGGAAGAAGAAATGTTAAGAAACATAGGTTTTTCGTGGTACCTCATTTTAACATAGAAACGAAACTGCGACCGACGATCCAATTTTACACAGCACAAACAAACTCGGAGACGCTAATTAGCTCGTAACATTTTATTCATAAGCGCAAGTTATAATGAACACTCTGAACTGTGGGTTCTGCTCAGATACTCAGCGTGAGCGGGAAATTCGTACTGAGAAAAAGAAATGCTACTACTCAGGATAACGACTGGGAAGCTTATTGCTGAGCTCCATACTTCGAATTCTTTATTAAATATAAGGGCTGCCATGTCATGTAAAATAGGAAGGGTGTGATACATAAAACGCATGACAAAATTAAAAATATACAAAAAGATTTGCTGGAGAAGCCTGAAGGAAAGGAACCACAACGAAGATTGAAGTGTAGATGATAGGATTATACTAAAACTGATCTTATAGAAATAGGGTATGAGATTGTGGATGGATTCAACTGGCTCAGAACAGTGTAGTACAATGACGGGCTCTTGTACAAATGATGTTACCATTCTGTAGACTTTTCAAAAACGCGGAAGATCAAGAAG